GTGTGTGTGTGTGTGTGTGTGTGTGTGTGTGTGTGTGTGTGTGTGATACTGTAAACAATTTGTCTGAATCTGCTGTTATTGACTCATTATATAAACCTACAGAAGCTGATGCAATCCTGAACATCAGCGCTGTAATAATGAATGTACGAATCACATTGTTATATTGATGAAGAGATGCTGATTCAAAATTAACATCATTTAGCTGTGATTTAAAATATTGTTTATTTCATCAAATATTTTTAAATGTCTTTAATAATATGTTGTAGGTGAATCAGACCTGTCTCTGCTCTTTAGTAAAGTAAATAGTGCCACCTAGTGGTGATGCTGCAGCATTTTCAGTCTACATTCATGTTCTGTGTCTCTGTTAATTAGTACACAGTATAAACTATGTATCATTTATAGCATCGTGTTTTAAAGATAATGTAAAAGTAGATAAAGTACTTTTCTGTTTTTAAGCAATAGGAAATAATTCAATGTGCACTGAGGATGTTAAACTGATTCTAATTCTGAACTTGGCAAATTTTAAGCAAAGATTTAACACAATATTCTATCTATTGAATTTTCTGGAAACAGGTTCATCAACAGCAAACTCTCACTTTCACACTTTCTTTTATGTTTACAGACCTTTTGATTAAATACAATTGAAATTCGAAACTGGGGATTTATGTATTTATCTTTATTAAAAATCAAAGACTAGATAAGCAACAATCAAAGTTTACCAGACTTATTTAAACTTCTCTGTCTCTCCTCAGCCTACATCCCCACACCCATCTACTTCGGCGCTGTGATCGACACCACCTGCATGCTGTGGCAGCAGGACTGCGGCGTGCACGGCTCCTGCTGGGAGTACGACGTCACCTCCTTCCGCTTCGTCTACTTTGGCCTGGCCGCCAGCCTCAAGTTCGTCGGCTTCATCTTCATCTTCCTCACCTGGTACTCGATCAAGCACAAGGAGGACCGGGCCGAGCGCTGGCGCCAGCACCTGCCTCCGCTGGGCACCGTCAGTGAGCTCATCTGCCACGCCGGCGGCCAAAAGAGCCACGCCCGCACCCGCTCCTGCCCTGTGTTCATCCCGCCTCGGCCCGACCCTCCCACCGCCCTGCTGCTCAACCGTGGCCACAGCAGCCTCAGTTGCCCTGGCAACGCCCTCAAAGCAATAACCCCGCCCATCCTCTTGCCACACCACCACAGAGGCTCCGCCCATGTCTGAGAGCATGCCAAGCCTTCCTGCGGAGGGGGGGGGGGGGTTCATAGTGATATGTGCCTTCCTGTTTAGTGTCTCTGCATCCTTCCCTGTCTGCTCTACACCAACCAGACACAAGGGCGGCGCTCCAGCGCTGCTGCAGGACCGACAGGCGGAGACGCAGGTGCGCCCACCACACGTAAAGGGCTGCTCATCGCCGCTATGATAACAGGAAACTGACAGATTCACTCTGAGCAGATCATCAGACGGTCACACGTCCACTTAAAGGATGGATGCATGATGCAAAGACATCACATGGTGCTACTGTGAAAGGGCGGGGCATTCAAACCTCAGTCACATGATCAACACGGCGTCTAAAGCACAACAGACAAACCTGTACTATGCAAGATCCTGTGTACAGCTCGTCCTCCTCAGTACTGTACAGCTCCCTCTGTCTCCGTACCTCTTTCTTCTTCTTCTTCTCACATCATCACCTCATCCTCTCCTCACTGTCTGAACATATCAGACCCTCTCTCTCTTGTATTTGAGCCATTCCTGGTTTGTCTGGTGAACACGTGTCGTTTGCATCTCCAAAGACGACAAACGCGTTTTTCTTTTTTGTAACAGTGCCTCTCCGGCTGCCTCGGCCAGTACAGTACACAAACACAAAGCTAGTTACCAGGGTAACTGCTCGCCACCATGAAGCCAGTCACTGTCGTCTCAGTGGAGCTGCAGCCTCGTGCTTTGTTTCTCTCAGCGTTTCGTGAGTCGCGGCTGTCGAAGTTTTTCGCCTTGGCAAGGTAACCATGTAGCTCAAAGCCGACATGCACCGACGGTACAGCGTTTACTGACTCCGATGTTGTCAGTCGTACTACGTTATTGTCGTGAACTGTAATATTTAGCCAAACAGGAGCTCTGAGCGTGTGCTGAAGCTACTGTTCGTCCTACAGATGTGAACAAACCTGGAAAGGAGAAAACAAATCTTCACAGATCTCACACACAACCTTTTCTAGAACTAATAATTCGTAGCCAGATTACTGCAACACTCAATTTATAAAATGCATCATTTTGGCTCCGTGTTGTGACGGCTTCTCCATTTTAAAGGCTTTAAAATAGAATAAATAATATAAATGAAACAGAGACCAACGTTTAACAGCAGAGTTTATCTGACAATAACTCAGTTCCTGGGTGTTTGGTGCCCTCTAGTGGACAGAAAGATGATTGTGTGAAGGCCAGTGAATGTTGCTGTTGTCAGACCTGCTGGACTTAATGACATGTGGGATTATAAAACTTAATCACTGCACTGAGTTTAGATCTTTAGTTTCCCTGAGCTTAAGATGAGCCGCCATCTTTGCTTTCCTCTGCCAACCATGTGATTAAATCCAATTATAAAATTTGGCTCCACACAAAATTCAGTGTTCAGATCAGAGCTGTTTCCTGACGCCATGTTTGAGAGGAATTATTTCCTTTTACCTCGGGCTAGAAATAATCTGATATATTTGCTCTCCTGTTGAAGCAAAGATTGAAGAAATAGAAATAAAAAGAGGCGCGTTAACTTTGCCGTTTTCTGTGTTTAAAAAATTTGATAAATAAATAGATAAAATCTGTGCCACAGTATTTAAAAATCATTTTAGGGAGTATTTTGTTGTGAGGAAGGTTAGAAGTCCTATAAAGTTACTGTATTTTATATTCTAATCCGTACGAATTCATTTTAATTATTAAAAGTTTGCAAATAAAACATTTCGATGCAGTGAATTCATTTTAAAATGTAATAATTTTTGGCCAAGTTTCAAGTTTTCTTCTTCTTCTGCCGGGTTAAGTTAATTTATCGGCGGCGACTAATTTTAGTATTAATCGTGACTTAGTACCTCAAATGAAGTATTCATTATAAGTGATCATCGTGTAAATATTGACAAACAAAGCATATTATAGAGCTCACTCATAGTTAGAAGCATATTTATGAACTAACCCTCCACATTGTAGTTAAAAAGAAAAAATAAAGACTTTAAGCTACAAAAAAAAAAAAACAAACGTTGGATTTGTCTCGCGGTGCCTGAGCAGTATTATTCTCATGGAGCAGGGTTGAGTTCAGATTATACCGTGTGTGTGTGTGTGTTTGTGTGTGTGTGTGTGTGTGTGTGTGTGTGTGTGTGTGTGTATGGGTGGGGGGGTTATTGCAATGTATTATTTTCCATTAAGAGGACTGCACAACGAAGTACATTTAAAAGCTGACGTAAACGACCCGAAAACATCCTTATATCTGTAACGATTCTCTTTCCTTCCTTCTGCAGCTGAAAACAAAGTCCAGCGATAATGGAAAAGCCCAAAAAACATCCGGAGCTTTCCTTGAAATTAAACTTTTATTCCCTTCACTAGATGCACAGATGTTCTTCTGATCCTCTAAACATCTTGGAAAAAAGAAGTGTGTAAACCTGTGAAATCTACAGAAGCATTCACTTGAGGAAAAAAATGTTTGCCCTTTTTTCTGAATTCATCAGTTTATTATCTCAGAATTTCATGAGTAACATTTTTCTGAATTAACAAGATTATCTTCTAATTTGTTTATAGTTACTCTCCTGTTGACGACGACTGTAAAGAAATCAAAGAGGTGGTAACTTTGCATTTTTCTGTGTTTAAAAATTTTGATAAATCAAGTATCTAAATGAAATCTGTGGCAAATTGTTGTTTTTTTTAAAAGGGAGCATTTCCTCTGATGTGAGGGAGGATAGAATCTAATACAGTTGCTTTATATTAAAATCAAATGAATTCATTTTAATTGAAAGTTTGCTAATAAGAAATTGGTGGCACATTTAAAAAACAATTCTAAGGATGTAAATGTAAAACTCTATTGGGAATTCTGAGATAGTAAACTTCTGTGACCATAGTTATGGGTCAACATTGTTTTTTTGTCAATGACACCCTTCCTTTAATAAGGTAAACTAAACATTTTGCTTTTTACAGGGAAGGTTAGAGAATCATCCTGAAACGTCGCATTGATCGTTGGACACACTAAACTTACGGCTGTCTGACTCTGTACTGTAAAACTACTACTTTGGAATCCAGCGTCCTGCGACGCCTGGATCCCTACGACTACTGATGCAGGCGACTTCAGGTCGACTGTAAAAATCACTTTAACACATTTCTCCTCTGGTCAGCGTTTGAACTGAAGGTGAATTTCCTGGACAAGAACAGAAGCAGAAAGTCGAGCTCTTAGCGCTTTGTGTTCCTCAGGAGCAGAAGTCTGATGGATGTTTGTGAACACTTGGTTTACAAATGCCTTGCATACTTGATATTTGTCATTAAAAAAACTGAAAAAAATGACCCGTCTGATTGAATTTATTGTATCGTGCGGTGGGAAAACACTTGAGGCGGAAACAGGACTAGGAAGAAGGAAAGAGTTTATTTCTTTAACAGCGTCATGGCTTTCCTGAAACCAGAGTTGTTCTAACATCTACACACAACGTCAAGGTTTAGCGTTTCTAACCAGAACGCACATCTCAGTTAGCTTTTTACAGATGTCACTGGCAGAAAACTTTATAAAATTACACCCTCAGATGAATGCAACACTCAGTATTTCACTGACACAGTGATGTGATGTCGTATAACCAGTTTGATGGGACTGCACATTTACATTCAAAATGAATTTGCCTTGTGCAACTCTATACTCTGGATTATCAAAGCACGACGTCAAACAGCACAACGTGACACTTGATGGGAAAAAAAAGTTACATGATGTTTTCTATCCCCTGGTGATTGTGTGAGCATTTGTGATTAATATTCTCATTTTAAATTATGATGCTGTGAGCGGTGCCCGTCATCAGAGGGCCAGATGTTTGTTGCAGCTGGTCGACTGTTGATTGTCTAAAGTCTGTGTGTGATCCTATTATTGCCATATGAACAAAAGGCTAAAAAAACATTCCTATATGAAAAGGGTTAAAACAATAAAATAATAGTAAATCAGATGTTATGTTGATTCTTTAGATTTTCTGAAGTGAAAGTTCTTGTCTTGGTTTTGAAAGTATCAGTCGTGACAGACAGAGGGTGACAGTGTGGAAATGTTAAAAAGTGCATTTGGGGTCAGTTTAGCCGTTAACTAGAGTGGTTACTATTCTGACGGGGCAGCGTTATGATTAATAGATTCTTTAGAGATGCTAATGCTAATCATCCATGCAGACGTTTCACTCACCCACTCGTTTTTCATAAAAACGTCAATGGTGTTATCTGTATGGATTTAATCATTTATTCTCCCAACACTAACGTTTAGCTGCATTAAGGCTTTTTCTCTTCTAAATATATATTTTAAAAAAACAGAAAACATAACACTGTTTATTCCAATGTAGGCACCTGTAAAAAAATAAACAATAATTTTAATACTCATTGTACAACTCTGACTGACTGAGGTGGCATCGCTCGCCGCTTCTCTTGGCGAGCTCATCTCGCAATCACCGTGTCTCTGTGGCGACCGGCAGCTCATTGGCCGGCGCTCGCATCTGCCCTCAGAGGGTTTGATTGGAGGGTTGAGGCAGAGAGCCGCTGCCCTCGTAGTCCAAGGTGAGGGGCAGCGCTGACTGAGGCAGCACCTGCAGGACCACCCCGACGCTCTGCGGGGTGCTAGTCTGTGTGGTGCTAGTCTGTGTGGTGGGGGGGCTCCCGGTGGTGCTGGCTTGCACCTCGGGCTTCAGTGTCTGTGGGGAGAGAGGGAGGTAGCCTTGTGCCTGGAAAATGTCCTCCTCTTCTTCAGGGTCTAGGCCCAGGCCGAGACCCAGAGGGCCGCTCACCTCCACGTGGCCGAGCCCGGGCTCCAGCTGGTTGTCATGCCGGGACTCGAGCTCCGTCAGTCCGTTCCCGCTGAACACGTCTCCTTCGATCTCCTCCAGCTGCTGCGCCCACGTGTCGCTCTGCAAGATGACCTCGTCTCTCCTCGGACCTGATGATGATGCTGCCACTCGTGGCGTCGACTTTGCCGACACCCCGGGTCTGTCTGCGACCCTCTCGGGAAGGTCGTTGACAACAGAATCCAGTTTCCTTTCCGGCGCGGGCCTGGGTGTGGGTGGTGTTTCACTGGGGGTGGGGGTGGTGAGGCGAGCCTCCGTGGCCGGGCCCGGCCAGACATCGCTGGCTGAGACCAACTCTCCTCCGCTGCCCTCGTCAAAGCCTCCACCCCCGGCCCCGGAGCCCAGCTCTGGCAGGGTGGAGTTGTCGAGCTTATGGGTTCGGTTGAATTTGTTAAAAACGTGTCGCAGTGCAAACATATTATCTACATCCTTCTGAAAGTTGACCCAGTCGTCTGGGCTGGGGCTGTAGTCAGGCCTACATTCATAAAGGCTTTCGTTTATGCTATACAGATCCTCCAGTCCCTGCCAGTTCACCTCCTCGTCCGTCAGGTTGGGCAGTTTAACCCTGTCGTCCGTCCCATATTGGCTGTGTGCTGCCGGAGAGACAGAAACAAGAGGAGTGTGAGGATCGGAACAGACGACAATCTCCTCGTTTACACACACAGCATGCAGTAATGCCCTGCTTCCGCCTCGCAGTAAAGAAGCCAGCTGCATGGGGTTTGAGGCCCCAAGCAAAACACACACACACTTGAAAGGAGCATTAGATAAACTATGTAAACACAGCATCCACATAAAGCTCAAGCCATGAGTAGTGCAAACACATGCTGCCTTAGAAATTCACATTAAAGAGTCAGACTGAAAAGAAAAATATTTAAAGATCCATCATCATAGGCTAACACGCTAAGCTCAACAGGAAAAAACGTCGGGGCAAAGTTAACGAGAAGCCTGAACTGAATTGAAATGCAAAGTCGGGCCACCTGGAATAAAAGAAGAATAAAAAAGAACAGTGGAGAAGACAAAAAAAAAGGTAAACAAGATGTTTAGAAGCAAAGAAAAGGAGTCTGCTGATGAACGGTGTACCCCCAGAAAAATAAAGAGACTGACAGTTCAGAAACAGAAGCAAATAAAAAGAAAAGTGGCTTCAGCGAAAGGCTACAAATCAGAGTCTGGCTCAGTTTGATGTCTGCAAGTTAAAAACCGAGGAGAAAGAAGAATCAATGCCACGTTTGTTCAGCTTTCCCTGTGAGGTGAGCTGTACTACTACTGCAGCTACAGATGGTCGACACAGGCTCAGGGACTCACAGGACGGAGAGGCTCGGTCTCCTCTTTGACCACTTTCGGTGCTGCTGCCGCCTGGTTAGCGGGTGCCAGAAACAGAGGTCAGAAAAGGTCAGTGGGAGGGACAGGCAACTCAAGTGTCCGTTCTACCACTAGCTGGCGGCCATGAGCGGATGTGCGAGAGTGTCACGCTAATGTGATGACTGTTTATTGGTGGCATGGAGGGTGACGTTAAAAAAAGCAGTTGGACGTTTTGGGGAAAACAAGAAAGAAAATCATCTCGTTTCCACAGAAACGTCAAACTCCTTTTGTGTGGAATGTGATGCATGAGTGGGGGGGTGATAGGTATCATGCATTGTCATTCACGTGCACTTGATGCTCAGGTTGATCTCAAGTAGATGCACATTTCAGCACCTTTCCCTTTTATGATGTCCTGGTTTTTTATTAAACCATGCTACGTTCAGAATAACTGAAATCCATTTTGAAACACTGGCAACTGCGCTAAATGCTGCACTCTCAAGCAAAGGTGTGAAAAGGCACAGAATGTTTGAAATGCTTCTTTCATGAAGACGGCAGATGAAGGTGAAGGCACAGATATGACAACAAATGAAGCTTTCATGAAAAACAAAACGTTTTGTAGCTGAGTTGTTAGCGTGTCCCCAGCATGCAGCCACAGATCAGACCAAGCGCCGGCACTCCACGGATGGATGGATGGATTAGTGGGAATAATAATAATGAGGCAGTTCAGGGCCATGCAGGTTGTTAAACAAAAAAAGCCACTGAAGATAAAATAAAATTGGGTGGATACCTGTGTGGCTCATAGCTTCCTCCATCTTTACCTCCTGATCGGAAAAATAGAAGCAATCGATTGTTAATGCTTTGATTCAGGGAGACGTGGGGAGGGAAATAAAAAGATCATTCACACTGGAGATTTCTTCATGCACGGCTGCTACTGCCTATGGAGAAATGCGATTATTGCATGATCAGAGGGAGGAGAATGAAGAGAACAAGGGGGAGAAGATTGTGTGATCGGAGCTGAATGGAGAGATAAGGAGCGATCGGAGTGAAGTGGTTTGTGTTTCGGAGAGGTTGACTGGGTTTCCCCTTCGAAGCAAAACACACAAGGTGATAATCATGGTTTCAAGTGAAACACCACAAACAGATGCGAGTGACTGCTCGATCCATTTCACCCCACGGTTAAATTCTAATAATCTATTTCTCCAACCAAAACATCACTTGGTGTAACCACAACAGCAATTTTCACTGGTCCGGGGAGCTGGCGTCGTCCCCCGAGCGAGGGCAGCCAGTGCGAGTAAGAGATTTTCAGCTGCTATGTGACGTGTTGGCATGGTTTTGACAAGTCCGCCGTGCCAGCACTGAAACACAATCAGTTGTGTGAGAGCAGCTTGGCCGCCCCTGTGCTCTGCTCTCCAGCTGGTAATTACAGACATGAAGTTTTTATTCATAAACAATGCAGCCGCTTCGTGCCACACACGAACGCCACAGCTCGGGTCTCACGAGCTTAGGTCATCGAGATATTGACTTATTAACCAACTCCATCAATGAGAGGTCTGCTGGTCGTAAAATAAAATTATTGCGGCTGATTATAACAGCGGTGCATGTCAGGCTCCGATTGCCGTGATGACAGCATCCTCCAAATAATCTCTCTCACACTAAGTGAGTCACAAAGAGGATTGTGGCCAAAACGCACAACTGGAACATGGTCTCATTTTAACGGTACTGACTGCAGAGGGCTTTACATCAAAACACTGGAGCTATGGACATGTGAGGGGAGGGGTGTATTATTCCAGCAGAATGGAAGGTCCTGGGCTGAGAGAGAGAAAAGTCAGAGTGTGTGTGCATAAGTGTGTGTGTGTGTGTGT